CCCCAAAACCCCAAAACCCCAAAACCCCAAAACCCCAAAACCCCAAAACCCCTTTTTGGATAATTTTATTGAGAACAAGTGAGGTAAAAATAACTCTCGAGAACAAAATAAGGCTTAGCAAGCACAACCATCCTTCTTTCTAGGAGCAACCACATTATTCTGACGACTATTGTCTGTTCTTGTAAGTCTCGTCTTTTGGGGATCTTGGGCCTATATTGGTTCAATAGAATTATTCCAAGATTTGGAGAATTGACTTTTTCCCATCGAAAAGCGATAAACTTCAAGGAAAAGAGTATCTTAAATGCTTACCTTTTCTTCAATCTCATGTTTGTTTTGAGCATAGAGCATTTTAGCTGCATTAATGAAGATCTCTTCGACCTTCTCTCCTGTTTTGGCGGATGTCTCACAGATTTCAGAGATTCCAGCTTCTTCAGCATAAGTTTGTGCTTTATCAACTGTAACTTCTCTGGCATCTTCATTATCAACCTGATTTCCAACAAGATAAGTCATGCATTCATTTCCTGTGTTCATTTTGACTTCTTTCAGCCAGTCTTCAATATTGTTGAAGGTTTCTTCTCTGGTGATGTCATACACAAGGAAGACACAGTGAGACCCTAGCCACTTAGAAATAGAGCTTACCTCTGTAGAAAATTTTATTGAGCGACTTGAAGCTCTCCTGGCCGGCAGTGTCCCATATTTGGAGCTTGATGATCTTGTCATCGATTTGCAGCAGGAAGGCTCCGAATTCTACTCCTACTGTGACCTCGTATTCCTCTTTAAATTCGTTCTCAGTTAACCTCATTAAAAGGGAACTCTTTCCAACACCTATACGATTAGTCGGATAAAAAGGTATTTTCACATGCAATTTTCGAATTCATTATTTTGAGATTTTTATTCTCAGAAAATACCAACTATTGAACACAATGACAGTGTTGGAGAAATTTATCATAATACGAATTCTTGATATGAAACATATCTGCAAGAGGGGAAATTTCATTTTAGATGTATTATCGATTCTCTTAACCAAGAAGACGCCTTCCTACTCTGGGATTAAACTGTTATAGTATAAATTTCATGAGTCCCAAGGATGCTTATAATTAATCATTTCCGATATGAATTCATTACTGTTTGAATTTATTTTATCCTAACTATAAACCTACATGTGTCCCCAATCAAAATGAGTTTGTAGAGAGCATCGTGTCTGGACAGAGTCTTGTCCTTAATAATCTTGCAGTCGATCTTATCAATTTCTGCTTTATCCATCTTAGATATGTTTGAAACTAAGTAATATTATATCAAGCATTGTCTTTAAAAACGGGGTTTTGGGGTTTTGGGGTTTTGGGGTTTTGGGGTTTTGGGGTTTTGGGG